AAGCAACTAGAAATAAATTCAATAAAACTATGTGAGAGCACTACTGCAAATACTACAATGCTTTAGGGAAACACATAAAAAGAAATCTGACTAAATAGCAAGCTATACCATGTTAATGGATAAAATGTCTCAATATTGTAAAGATAGTCATGATTTCTTAACTAATCTATAGATTCCATGCTAACTCAACCAAAGTAACAAGATTTTCCTGGAATATAAAACTTATTGTAAAATTCATATAGGAGAGTAAATTCAAGATCATTTTGAGAAAGAATAACAAGGATTTGTGTTACAATATAATAAGATATGATAAAACAGCAGTAGTTAAAACCCTGACTATGAGTACAAGAAAAGTGAAAAAACATTGATAGAACAGAAATTCAAGACACAGACTTATATATGTGTTTCGAATATGATAAATGATAGACATTTAAATGGTAAAGACAGTTCAAAAAATGGTGTTGGGAGGATACACACACACACGCACACACAATGCAATTTATATTTCTGTCTCATCCTGCACACCAAAGTAAGCTTTGGATAGATTAAAGATCTAATTGTAAAACACTAACTTTCAAATTATTAAGAGAGAATACAAGAGAATCTCAACAATTTGGTAAAAGAGGATTTTCTGTTATTTATTTATTTATTTTTTAGATGGAGTTTTGCTCTTGTCAGCCAGGCTGGAGTGCAGTGGTGCGATACATAAATATAAAATGGTGGTCACTGAAACCTCCCTCTCCCAGGTTCAAGAGATTCTCCTGCCTCAGCCTCCCAACTATCTGGGATTACAGGCACATGCCACCATGCCCAGCTAAATTTTGTATTTTTAATAGAGATGGGGTTTCACCATGTTGGCCAGGCTGGTCTTGAACTCCTGATTTCAAGTCAGGAAACCCACCTGCCTCAGCCTCCCAAAGTGCTGGGACTACAGGTGTGAGACACCACACCTGGCCCTGGCTAATTTATTTTATTTGTTGTAGAGATGGGGTTCTTGTTTTGTTGCCCGGGCTGGTCTTGAACTCTCGGCTACAAATGATCCTTCTGCCTAGGCCTCCCAAAGGGCTGGGATTGCAGGCACGAGCCACTGCACCCGGTCTATTAGATACAATTGATGGGAGGCTATTTGACTCAACAGCCGAAACTAAAATGAAGCCACTTGTGCTGAAGTTCCACACCACCAAGCCCAACCTAAGTTGTTTATTTGATCTTCCAAGAAATCAGGAGAGACAGAGATAACCCAATTCCCCACAAGGCCAGTTTTAGTGGGCGTTGAGACAGAAATAATACAGGGTGGTCACAGGAGAATAGAATATTCTAGGCAGCAGTTTCACATGACCAGCAAAAGGAAACCGTTGAAATAGCTGCAGAAGCTACGAGCAGATAAGACCCTGAAAAACCAGGGTGTGGACCAAGCTGGCCAAGACTGACTAGACCCAGCATGGCACTGGAGTGACCTAGGTCTCACCCAGGACCTCATGCACTCATTAACATACTAAACACACACCCCCAGCACCATGACAGCTCTGTGAACACCCGTATTTGTCGTAAAAATGGGTGGCACCACAGTTCTGAGAAACCTTCGCCTTTTTCCAGGAATTTTCATGACTATTCAGCCCCTCGATTAAAGAAACCCATTAAAGGTAGCAGCCGCAGACCCCCTTGTGTGTGACTGTCTCCCAAGTACTCCTGCACTCCCTTTTCTTGAGTGTGTACTTTTTACTCTACAGTAAATCTCCCTATTTTCACTATTTCCTCTCTCATTCTTAAATTCCTTCTCAAGATGGTGTCAAGACCCTGGACACCGGCCAAGGTCAAGATCCCACCTGCATTTGGGGACCTCCTCTGGCCACTGGTATAAACATGATAAGAAAGACCCCTCTGCTTTAACCTGTCTACCTAAAAGGAAGAAGCTGAATCAAAATGAATATAAATAAATTATGTGGGCCAAGCTTGAGATTACATCCCAGGAGCATAGATTCAAGTTGCCCAGTGACTATTCACAGGGACTAGCAATAATTACAAGTAGGGTTTTAAAATTATATTTGTTTAGAGATGGGGTGTCACCACTGCCTAGAGCTGGAGTACAGTGGTGCCATCATGACTCACCACAGCCTTTAATTCCTGGGCTCCAGCAATCCTCCTGCCTCGGCCTCCCAAGTACTTGGGGATGCAGGGACTCACCACCTCAAGGTTTTTTTGGTTTGGTTTTTTGTTGTTGTTGAGGTGGAGTCTCCCTCTGTCACCCAGGCTGGCATGCAGTGGTGCCATCTTAGCTCACTGCAACCTCTGCCTCCCAGGTTCAAGGGATTCTCCTGCCTCGGCCACCCTAGTAGCGGGGACTACAGATGTGTGCCACCACGCCTGGCTAATTTTTTGTATTTTTAGTAGAGATGGGATTTCTTTTTTTATTTTTTATTTTTGAGAAGTCTTGCTCTGTTGCCCAGGATAGAGTGCAATGGTGTGATCTTGGCTCACTGCAACCTCCCCCTCTAGGGTTCAAATGATTCTCTCTCCTACCTCAGCCTCCCAAGTAGCTGGGATTACAGGCACCAGCCAACATGCCCAGCCAATTTTTGTATTTTTATTAGAGATGGGGTTTCACCATATTGGCCAGGCTAGTTTCAAACTCCTGACATCATGATCCACCCGCTTATGCCTCCCAAAGTGCTGGGATTTTTATAGGACAAGAAGAGACAATTTCTAAATTGTTTACCAATAATTCACATTAAAATAATGTAAGCTATTGATTGACTATATGTTGTTCTTTGTATCACAGATTCCAGAAACAGGAAGGTACTGGGTAAGGCAGCTAGTCAGGAACAAAATTGCTTTAAACAATTGACCCCCATGTATGGGGTCGTGGGAGGGCTGGGGACAGGCATGACTGAAGTCTCACACTCCTGTGTCTCTGGTCCTGCCCACTTTACAGAGCTCAGAATGCTTGGAGCTATTTTTCTTCTCTCAAACTTGTAGGAGGAAAATAACTTTGAAAGGACCAATCTGCTTTTTGCTCTCCGCTTCTACTAATGCTTTCCTCAGCGTTTTTGTGTCTACAGAGCCAACCTCCTCTGCTCAGCTCATCAGGACACTCATTCTGTTTTGGGCTGGTGGCTGATGCCTCTAATCCCAGCACTTTGGGAGGCCAAGGTGGGAGGATCACCTGAGGTCAGGAGTGCAAGACCAGTCTGGCCGACATGGTGATACCCGTTCTCTATTGAAAGAATAAAATAAAATAAATTAGCCGAGTGTGATGGCACACACCGGAGGACTAAGCTCCGACTTTTTAATCTTGCCCAAATTCCTAAGGAATCTGGGGAGTCATGCCCTACAAACCATAAATTCTCATCAGATGGGTTTTATTTAACCCTGTATATTGTGACTTACTTTCCAATCTGACTCTGGCATAAGAAGGAAGAAATCAAAATATTTTACCCCTAAACATGTTTATCTGCAACATCTTGAAATGGCCCTGCAAAGTAGTCCCTTGTGGGAAAATCTGCATTCTATAGAGAATCCCCTTCTTCCCTATCTTTTTTTGTTGTTGCTCTTTTTTGTTTTTGTTTTTTTGAGACAGGTTCTCACTCTGTCACCTAGGCTGGAGTATAGTAGCACAATCTCAGCTTACTGCAACCTCCGCCTCCTGGGTTCAAAAGATCCTCCTGCCTCTGCCTCTGGAGTAGCTGGAATTACAGATGCGCACCACCTCACCCGGCTAATTTTTGTATTTTCAGGCGATCTGCCCACCTCGGCCTCCCAAAATGCTGGGAGTACGGATGTAAGCCACCGAGCCTGGCTTCCCACCTCTTTTTTTTTTTCCCCCTTCCTTCCTTTCCAGATCCAGGAGATAATCAACTAAGAGCCAGGCACCCTTTTAGGTCCAATAAGAAACATTTTACAACCTGCTCTCTCTGAAGTCTACTATTGGAGAGCTTCCTCTGCACAATGAAAACTTGATCTCCATAATCCTTTATTTTAACCTGAACATTTCCTTCCTATTGATCCAGGGTCTTCAGATAAACTCAACCGTCAGAAAATGTTTTAATTTTCTATAGTCAGTCCCAGCTCCATGGGAGGCTGAGTCAGGAGGATCACTTGAGCCCAGGAGTTTTAATCCAGTCTGGGCAATATAGCAAGATCCTGTTTCTAAAAAAAGAACAGAAAGTAAACTATTTACTGGGCTGACACAGGAGACAATCATTTCTGGGCCTTTTTTTAAATTTAAATTTTATTTTATTTTTGGGGGGTACCTTCTTTTTAGACACCAGCCAAAATCAGTAGGAAGCTGTAGGCAACCAGCACTTGGGATTGCAATATTTTACCACAATTCAAACTTGAAACGGGTTCATTCAGGGATTCTTCCATTTTGATAGGGTGCGAACTGAGAGAAGGACTGGGGAAAAGGTGGGCGCCTTCCACAGAGGTGCACGCGTTGCAGCCTCACTGGGCAGTACACTGACGACAGCTTGGAAGTAGGTCTTGGTCATTGTGTTTGCAACTGTGGACCGTGCAAGGTGCCAGATTTCCGAAAGTAGCGTCTGTTTACGCCGGGATCCTACAAGTCACCGGTGTAATTTCCAGTAGCCTGTAGGTATGACGCTACAGAAAGACTCATGAAGGAGCAGAGCCCCTGTTTGCAAAAGTCCAGGCCTATCTTTGGAAAATCAAGGCTGTGAAGGACGAGGGCGCAAATGCTACACTTTGAGGCCGTAACCAGGGATGTGGGAGGGGCCAGGGAGGGGCGTGGCGACAGCCGGCGGGGCCGAGAAGTGAGCGCCCAGCAGCCCCGCCCGCACCTCAGGGTGTTTTGGAGGACCACGTGGTCCCGTCTCATTGGCCGTTGGGAAGCTCCAGCCCCCGGGAGGCGGATCCGCCACCGCAGTAGTAGTTCACTGTCAGTCAGTAGCAACCTAAGGTCGTCCGGGATCAGAACTCCCAGAAGGCCTCGCGCTCGGGGGCGTGGCACTGCAGGGCGGGCGTTACAGAGATGCAAATGAAGTCTCCTCTCCCAGCACCTGCGCGCCCTCACTGGGCTTCCAGGGGGCGGGGGAAAAGCTTTCTCACCGCCCTACGGGTTCCTCCTTTTCTGACCTGGGGAGGCGCAGGGCTGGGAACGGGGCTGCGTTGAAGCTTCTGGTCTTCCCGGCTGCCTGGGCAGCCTGTTTGGCGCCCAGGAAGTTACAGTACTTGCAGAGGAAGCACTAGGGAATACCGGGGCCTCACTCCGGACCCCCAAGTCCAAACCAGCACCACAGAGCGGAAGCCAGTTGTAACTGGGAAAAAGCAAAGCTGCTAAGGTACTTTAATTTTGGCTAAGAAAATAAGCAGGAAAGACGACAGCCAAATCAATGGGATGAATGTCTGTGGACTATGCTGCAACGTTTAAATCTGTCCTCTATAATTCTTTGCTTTTTATTTTTTATTTTTGTTTTTAGACGGAGTCGCTTTTTCACCCAGGCTGGAGTGCAGTGGTGTGATCTCGGTTCACTGCAACCTCTGCCTCCCTGCAACCTCCGCCTGAGCGATTCTCCTGTCTCAGCCTCCCGACTAGCTGAGATAACAGGCACCCGCCACCACACCCGGCTGATTTTTGTATTTTTAGTAGAGATGGGGTTTCGCCATGTTGGCCAGGCTGGTCTTGAACTCCTGACCTCAGGTGATCCACCCACCTCGGCCTTCCAAAGTGCTGGGATTACGGGTGTGAGCTGCTGCACCTGGCCAATTTTTTGTTTGTTGGTTTTAAGAGCTAGACTCTCACCCTGTCACCCAGGTTGGAGTGCAGTGGCACCATCACAGCTCACTGCTGGGCTCAAGGGATCCTCCCACTTCAGCCTCCCAAGTAGCTAGAACTACAGGCATTTGCCACCACACCTAAGTTTTTTAACTTTTTTTGTGGAGACGGGGTCTGGCTTTGTTGACCAGGCTGGTCTTCAACTCCTGGCGTCAAGTGATCCTCCCACCTGGGCTTCTGAAAGTGTCAGAGTTCTGGGCATTGTAGTCCCACTGTGAGCCACTGTGCCTGGCCCTATTTTTTTTTAATGAGAGTGGGAAGAGGCAGCACTTGTAGCCTAGTGGCCAGCTGGGGGCTCCCATTTCCTCCCTAGTGTGATAATCATTGGCATTCGCACCCATACTCACTCACAGATGGAAGCAGAGTCCCCATTTTCTGTTTCCTGGAAGGTTGTATTTTGGTGGAACTTTGTTCTAGTGTCTCAGTCAGTTTCCCTCTCACTCATTGGTCAGGGGTCTTATTGCTTCAGATATTTGCACAATAGACTAATTAAAATCCATCTCCAGCTACTTACAAACTATTACAGGCAGTGGCGATTTGAAGGCCTTTGCTACAAATCAAAGCCTTGATTGTTAAAAACATAGAACGGACTATGATGTAGCTTAGGCAATGTGACAAATTGGCACCAATTGTTTGTAAGGGTGAGAAACATCGGGAAAGTTCCAGAAAGTGCTGGGTTTGGCAGGAAAAGGAAATGAGGCCACCCTCATTTTCCAGGTTTCGGAGGCAATGAATAAAGCATGAGAGGTAGGACGGGAGTCGTGAATTTTTGTTGTTGGCTTGGCATGGGTTGAGGTATGAGGGTGTCCTGGTACAATACTGAAGCAGTTGGGATGCAGGGAGGTGGGAAAGTGACTATTCCAAAATGAAACCGGGATTCGAATCTGATATCAGGAAACCACAAATATAATTCAGCTGAATAATCATATTTGTAGTTTTGTGTGTGTGCACGCATGTGTGTGTCTCGTGGGTGCGTTATGGTAGCACATGTCCCAAGCCCCACAGTGAGTTTATTTTGTCCATAACCAGACCCAGGTACTTTGACCCAAGTCTGTTAATTGGGCTGACCATCTTGTATGCCAGGTGCAAGACAACCACTGGTGAGAGGTAGATACCTTTCATTTCCCTTTGCAGACGGTGGACCAGCTTTATGGGAAGGCTGACCAATAAGGGAAACCCAGCAAGCCCCTGAGACTGCATGTCCAGGGCAGAGTGTGCTTGTAGGAGACTCACAGGAGGCAGGTGGGAGATGCCTCCACTTGTTCTCCTTCAGTCGCAGAATGTGCTTTGAGGTGGAGTAGGGAGCGGTGTGGAGATGGAGTGGCAACAGACATAGAGAAGAGAGAAGACTGGAGCCGTTTGAAAGGGAGGGTTTGGTGGTTGTTTTTGATTTTGCAAGTGTGCGTGCATGTGTATGGGTGTGCATGAGAGAAAATGCACTACCTTTTTTAAAAATCTATTTTTTTGAGAAGGGTCTCTGTGTCACCGACGCTGGAGTGGGGTGGTGCGGTTACCGCTCACTGCAACTTCCACCTCCCAGGCTCAGGGGATCCTCCCACCTCAGCCTCCTGAGTAGCTGGGACTACAGGAATGTGCCAACACGCTCAGCTAATTTTTTGCGTGTGTGTTTGTGTGTGTGTGTGTTTCTTTAGAAACCAGCTTTCGCCATGTTGCTGTTGTCCAGGCTGGTCTCAAACTCAAGGAATCTGCCCACCTCTGCCTCCCAAAGTGCTGGGATTACAGGCGTGAGCCAACACGCCCAACCTAAATTTTTAAATAAGAAAATAGCATTTGCTTTTTTTCTGATGAGTTTTTTTCTGTGATACCAAGAAATTTCAATATGACTGTAAATGGAGTGCTGATGCTAGACCCAAAGATTTGGAGAGGCAAATCCAAAGAGCTATCTTCTTCTTCTTCTTCTTCTTTTTTTTTTTTTTTGAGTTGGAGTTTCACTCTTGTTACCCATGCTGTAGTGCAGTGCCATGATCTGGGCTCACTGCTCCGCCTCCTGGGTTCAAGTGATTCTCCTGCCTCAGCCTCCTGAGTAGCTGGGACTACAGGTGTGCTCCACCATTTCCGGCCAATTTTTTTTTTTTTTGTACTTTTATTAGAGATGGGGTTTCACGACGTTGGCCAGGATGGTCTTGAACTACTGACCTCAGGTGATCTGCCCACCTTGGTCTCCCAAAGTGCTAGGATTATAGGCATGAGCCACCGCTCCTGGCCTAAGAGCTATCTTCTTAAGCGATGTAAACACCTAGCCATTGGCAAGACTGCAAGTCTAGCAATACAATATGCCTGATGTAGTATTGGACCTGTTAAACGTGCCTCGCTGTTTTTAATCTAATGGAACAAATCTTCATGGCATTAGGTGCAAGGGGCCCTGCTGCAGTGCAGTGGGAGGAAGTTGGGGGCAGCTGTGTCATTTGGGGCCTTTGTGGATGGCGCTCGCCTGGCCTCCCCCTCAGGCCCACTCACTTGTCACTTCAGCAGCATTCCTCATGTACTCATTGTGCAACCTCTAGGTGTAAAAATGGCAACGGAGGTCAGTTACCAGTGCTTACTCTACTCTGCTCCAGAAACTGTGCTATCACCTGGGTCTATAATGGTGAGATAAAAAGAGATTTGGTCTCTATTTCCATGAAGATGAAGCCCCTCTGTTCTCTTTTACTATCCTATCCCATTCTGTCTTTTTGAAGCACCGTGCAAGGGCCTACAGGGCTGCAAGTATCTGATTCTGTAAAATGACTGCAGTGTCCTCAGTGGGCTCCTGAGTTTGGCTCCGCCTTGAAAGGGCAGGGCATTTCGCTTCTTTCCATTCACTAGCTGTTTTGTGAATGTTTCCATTCACTAGCTGTTTCACTCTGGTGTTGATTTCTGGTTGCTGAAAGTTGTAATGAATCTGCAATGTCCAAGGTGTCACTTGTAAGAAAAGAGTGAGGGATTATGGAAGAGGAGTTAGTCCCCAGTGGTCCCTCTTACTCCTGGGGGTCAAGCAAACTCCAAGAATGTGGCTAGTTCTCAAAGGATAGTAGGCTTGCTGTGCAGAGTGGTGTGGCCTTTAAAAGCAATGCTAGCAGCCTGGTTACGTTAACTGACTTCCTGATGTTTTGCAATTCTGCAGAGCATCTTCTGCTGAGTAATATGGTCTGTGGAACAAAGGGGAGAATGATGGAACAGGTTTTCCAGTCATCAAGTTTATTAAGTTTTTTCATTCTGAACAGCATTCATTAATCTCTAGCCTAGTCAGTGTGTTATAAAAATGGGCTTTCTTTAAACTGACGGTTCTTGTTTTGTGTCTTCTTTTAGAAATGTAAATCATTCTAACTTTATCCCAAATTTATCTAATCCTGTCTAGTAAAGCCAGTTTGAGAGTCTTATAGTTTTATAAATATTGAAGAAAAACAGTGGACTCATTTTAGTTACTTTTTATCTTGTGTACTTGCCAAAGAAAGGAGAAGGTAAATATCAGAAATCTTATCACCAAGTCCAAATTGCAATTTATGCCTAAATCAAAATCATCCGCCTCTTCAGAAGCCTTACTTCTTGACATAGCTGTATTATATCACATAGATTAAGGTGGTAGCCAGACCCCAGCTGCTTCGTTCATCACAGTGCAGCTTACTCCTGCTGAAGTACAAATAATTGTTTGTTACACTTTCTTTTCTTTTCTTTTTTTGAGACGACATCTCTCCCTGTCGCCCAGGCTGGAGTGCAGTGGTGAGATCTCAGCTCACTGCAACCTCTGCCTCCCAGGTTCAAGTGATTCTCCTGCCTCAGCCTCCCGAGTAGCTGCCATACCCGGCTAATTTTTTTTTTTTTTTTTTTTGTATTTTTAGGAGAGACAGAATTTCTCCATGTTGGCCCGGCTGTCTCGAACTCCTGACCTCAGGTGATCCACCCGCTTCAGAGTGAGCCACTGTGCTTTTGTTTTTTGGCTTTTGTTTTTGTTTTGTTTTGTTTTTGAAATGGAGTCTTGACCTGTTGCCCAGGCTGGAGTGTAGTGGTGCGATCCTGGCTTACTGCAGTCTCTGCCTCCCAGGGTCAGGCGATTCTTTGCCTCAGCCTCCCGAGTAGCTGGGATTACAGGTACACACCACCACACCTGGCTAATTTTTGTATTTTTAGTAGAGATGGGGTTTCACCATGTTGGCCATGTTGGCTGATCTCACCATGTTGGCTGATCTTGAACTCCTGGCCTCAGGTGATCCACCCGCCTCGGCCTCCCAAAGTGCTGGGATTACAGGTGTGAGCCACTGTACCAGGCTGTTTGTTACACTTCCATCTCGTTACCTTGACACTAATATAGAATTAGCTGATTCATTAGCTGATTCCTAAATCAGGAACCCACAATATTTTAATAGCAAACAATACTCTTGACTGTATCATGAAACTGTAAGTCCCCAGAGCAATCTTCTTAATTTGTGCAATTACCTAACCAATATCATAAATAAACCAAGGCCATTGTCAAGCTTCTGTCAAGGAGAATCATTAACTAGAGGAATT